GGCATCAGAGCCTCTCAGTGTCCATCCCAAAATCAGCTGTGCTTGGCTGTGAGCAGAGGTGATGCTCAGATAGGGGAAATGCTGTCACCTGTAGAAAGGGTGTTCTAAAAACTTCCCTTAACTTGTGTCTGAGCTGCCTGAAATGTAAAGGTGGAGGGGCAGCCCTGGTATGGCCGTGGCCATGCACTGCCAGCAGCTTCAGAGCAGAGGTGGCATCTAGTGGCTGCTGTGACCCTGTGTCCCCAGATCCCTGGGACAAGGGGGCAGCCAGGGCTGAGCTGGAGCTGTAGGCTGGGCCTGGGAAAGGGAGCTTGGCTGCTCAGCTTCCCTGTGAGCTGGAACTGGGGGAGTGCCTTGGGCTGCAGCTCAGGACATGGTTGTGGGTTACTGGGGCTGAAAGGGGCCCGTACTGGTGTTCAGCACAGTGCAGAGTCCCATGATTTTGAGGGCACCTCCAAATTGATGCAGATTTTGTCTCACCTGGAGAGCCACAGGAGAGCTGTGCTTGTGAACTGCAGCATACTCAGTGCTAACCAGCTAAAATAACAGACCAAAACCAGGGAGTGCCTTTGAGCTGTCCCGATGCACTGAGTGTTTATGGAAAAAGGAAGCTGAAATTTTCTCCAAAACATTGCAGTTGTGCAGATTTTTGTCTTTCATTAATGAGCTTGTAGGCAGAGTTTGCTCCAAAACCTTTAGTCTCAGTTTGGGTGTTTGTACATTTAAAAGTGCAGCACATTTCTCAGCCCATAACCAGATACCAGCTTGCTTTTAACTGGAGTGTGTGTGACCTCTTTGGACCAGCATATGTAAAGCCCAAAGACTGGTGTCCCTCTGGATTAAAGTATGTGGTGTAATTTCAGATGAACATGGATTATTTAAAGCATTTCTCTGGTGACCAAGTCAGGAGTTTTGAGGACAGGGAGCCCATGTTCCTCTGGGGTGTAGGCTGGGCAGTCAGTGGGCGAGGAGCACAATGACGACATCTGCGGATTTGACATTTCCATTTACAAGTTTCCTTCTCTTCCCAGTTTAGCTGAACCTCTCTCACTTTTAAAAGCTGTAGTCAAGCGATTTGTTTCAGCTCAGCAGTGGCATTTTTGGAAGCATTTGGCCTCAGTGCCCTGAAAACTGTCCCTGTTCCCATCCATGGTGCTTTCCTGCAGCTGCTCCAGCTGTGCCCTGCTGGCACTGGGGGTGATCGAGCTCTCTGCTGACAGGGAGCTCCTGTGCCTAAGGAGGGGCCAGAGTCTGTTGGGATTTTGCATCTGAATCAGAGCAATGGGCTTAATTAGCCTATTCCCTAACAGCCCAGCAGGTCCTGGTTCAGGAGCTGGCAGGGGAAGATGTCTGGATGCTCCCTTCTGGTAGCAGAGCAGCCTTACTCCCACTGCTCCTCACCATCCCTGGGGATGAGGGAGATTTATGTCTGCCTGGAAATAAATACAGATCATTCACTTGTCTCTGGAGGAAGATAAAATGTAAACTGCCTATTTTCTGTGATACAGCACTGGAAATAGTTGGAATTTAAGATAATTATCTTTATTGCTTTTTATAGCACCCTATGAAGGCTGAAATCTAATTTGTTTTTCACTAACAGGGAACTCCTGCGGATGACTCAGAAAAATCCATTTGCTTTATTGACAAACTTGTCTGTTTGGTTGTCAGGGCAGTGCTCTCCTTGCAGGAAAAGGGAAATGCAGGTCATAGCACATAACACAGTGTGGGGTTTAATAGATGTTCAAAGTTTGATATCTGTTGGCAAGAAGAAAAAGTAAAGTTGATGTAATTAGAGTGAAGTGACTCTGCTTTATTAAAAGGTTGTAAATTAGTTGATGCTTCAGTGGGTGTCAGTAATGGTGCTCTCTGCTTTGTTTATGCAATTTCACTACACTTGAAGCTCATTAAGCTTGCAGAGAAGCTGCTTTTCCTGGTGCCCCTCAGCTTTGGGCAGAGGTGGGAGGTGCAGTTGTGCCTCTTGCCCTGGGGCTCAGGGAATGCTGTGTTCCATGTGGCTTGGGCCTGTTGCTTGCAAGGGGAGTTGTTTCTTTTCAAACTTTTCAGTCTGACTGTGAGACAGGCTCCCATTTTTAACAAATTTCTGATGTATCTGAAGGTTGTGGACACCCCTTGTGTGAGTGAGTTGCATGCCAGCACTGCTGGTTGTTGGGGTTTGTGGGGTTTCTGCTGCTCCAGTGCTGGGGCTTCATGAAGAGCAAAATCAGATTCCTGTGCTGCTTGTCAGCCCTTCACAAGGGGGGAGTGTGTCCTGCCTTACCTGGCCCCTGTGATCCACACCCCAGAGCTGCTCAGAAGGAGGGACAGCAAGCTTTGGACAGCCTTCCTGTAAGCTCTCCCAAAATGCCCTGCTGCTGCAGGCAGTGGTGGTTGAGAAATGCTGGGAGTGCAGGCTGATGTAGCAGAGATGTATCTAAATTGTTTCTGTCTGTTCACCCCCTAGAAGTCTCATTTATCACTGCCATGTGGGATAATGCTACAAATCACTGAATCTCACAGAATCATGGAGTGACTTGGGTTAGAAGGAGCCCTGAAGCTCACCTTGTTCCTTCCCCTGTGCCATGGTCAAGGACACCTTCCTAGGTTGCTCTAAGCCCCATCCAACTTCTCCTAGAGCTCAAGTTCTGAGAGGTTTAAAACCACAAAGAAGAAGTCAGAAGCAGTGTAGGAGTTAAGTGTGTTTTCATAGAGCTCCACAGAGCTGCCTTTGCCATGGAGCAGGAGTCTGGTCCTGTCAGGTCTCTGTAGCTCCCCTCAAAGAGGCAGCAGAACAAGGAGAATACATCCCTTTAGGAAACATGAAATGAGAGCTCCATGTGGGCAGAGCAAGGTTCTTGTGCATCTCTGAAGATGTTCTCAGGCTTTGCTCAGCTTTTCATTGCTTTTCTTTCAGGAATTGACTACAAGACCACTACTATCCTGTTGGACGGCAGAAGGGTCAAGCTGGAACTCTGGTGAGTGTTCTGAGCCTCTGTAACCCAAACCCTGGGAGCTCAGGCCAGGTGAGCAGGGACACAGGGCCAGGGGATGCTGTACTGGGCTGTGGAGAGCGTGGACCATCCCTGGGGCTGTGATGGGACTTCCTGGCTGCTCCTACCAGAAAGTTACTCTGGCAAACAAGATTCCTTTCTGTCAAGTAGCACAAGCACCATGCTGCTCTTTGCTGGAATAGGCTGAATTCAGTCATTGTCTGTCATAACTGACCATTTTCACTGTTACTCTGCACTGGAGACCCCACCTGTAGTTCTCTTGTCCAGAGCTCCTGGCACAAGAAGCACATGGATATCTTAGAACAGGTTCAGGGGAGCCCATGGAGGTTCCCCAAGGGCTGGAGCCCGTGAGGAGCCAGGCTGGCAGAGCTGGGGGTGCTCACCTGGAGAGGAGAAGCTCCAGGGACACCTCAGGGCCCCTGCCAGGGCCTGAAGGGGCTCCAGGAGAGCTGCAGAGGGACTGGGGACAAGGGATGGAGGGACAGGACACAGGGAATGGCTCCCACTGCCAGAGGGCAGGGATGGATGGGATATTGGGAATTGGGAATTGTTCCCTGTGAGGGTGGGCAGGCCCTGGCACAGGGTGCCCACCCTGGATCCCTGGCAGTGCCCAAGGCCAGGCTGGGCAGGGCTGGGAGCAGCCTGGAACAGTGGGAGGTGTCCCTGCCATGGCAGGGTGGAACTGGTTGGGGTATAACATCCCTTCCAACCAAACCATTCCATCATTCTATGTTCCTGTACTGCTCTCAATCACTGAGGGACTGGTATTGTTTTGGAAGCAATACTGGATTTTCCTGGTATCCAAGGATGAGGAACAGAAACAAGAGAAGGAAAGTAGAAAATAAAACAGGTGAAACCCTTGGTCCCTCAGCAGCTGGATGTTCCTCAATGCCTTGAGTAGAAAATTCAAACAAGCAGTGAGGAGGCATCACCGCGTCAGGGTGGGGTGAGCCCTGGGGAGCAGGAGTGACTGGAGTGCCCAGAGCCTGGGACACAGATGGAGAGCCCTGCCTGGGAGGGGTAACCCCTGCCTTATCTGTCAGCACCTGAGGGACAGCTGGAGCCCTTCTGGCTGGGCTTTGTCTCACTTGCTGAGGAGCTGACACAGCAGGCTGAGGAGATGAAAGAGGAAGGGAAGGACAGGATAGGTTGTCTGTCCCTACCCTGTTTTTCACACAGATCCGGGAATTAGGGAATGACACAGTCCTAAAACATGGAGTTAAATATCCCCTTAGAAATGCTTGGGTCAAGTAACAGGAATATTAGTAACATGTGTGAATTGTTAAATAGGAATGAACTCCATGTTCTAAGCCTCAGTGACTGACTCTGGCAGTGTGTAGTTTGGTGGTTTAATTACACCCCTGCTCTTTGAAGCTGAATGTCCTCATTTTTCTTACAAAAAAGAACAGAAGCAGCTAATTTATCTCTTGTAGCCTCCATGTTTTTATGTGCCACTTGCATACTTGTCTCTCTTGTAAGATACCTATTTTAACATTTCAGCCCCAGGTGTGTAGTAAAACTTAGTGCTTCCCTTTTGAAACCATCTTTTTATAATGTAATTCTTGAGCTGGAGAACAGCACAGAAACTGAAAAGCTGATAACACTGATTGATGATGCCTTAGTGTAATCTTTTACCATTACTTACCCAGTATTTGATTGTTGAGGGAGAAGGACATATAAGCACAGGCTGTTAGATTGATGTCCAGGATCCTACAAAGCTTTACATCTGAAAAAATGACTGTCCTGCATGTGAGGTCAGTGTGTTTTTCCTAGAGCTGCAAATCTGGGGCTGAGGGATTCCTCAGCCTTCCCAGTGGTCATTGAAGTGTCTTTTATCCTGGCCCAGGGAATAGATTTGAGAAACACCATAATGTGTCTCTGATGAGCCTGACACTTTTCAGTATATCCTGGTTAAATCAAAGTGCTGGACTCTGCTGTCTTGTTCCAGAAAGGCACTGTGAGGTGCTGGCAGTGTTGTCACACTTATTTGCACCTTGTCCAGACAAGACAAGTTACAGTGACTGAAAGGCCCCTTATTGTCACAGTGGTCTAGAAACACTGTACCCCACTCCTGATCCTCACTTTCTGTAGGGTATATAGACCAGGTCTGTCAGGGATCTGGGTATAAAGAGAATTCCAAGAGAATTCCCTTTATTTTGGTTAAAATGTAGTGGAAAAACAGGTGAAGCCTAGTGGCAGTTTCTCCTCCTGTGAGTGGTCATATTTAGGTTGGCTGTTCTCCATGGCTGGGAGACCTCTGTACACTCACTCTGACTTTGAACTCCTGTGGACTGAAGGGAACCAGGCAGAAAATCCTTTGCCCAAGGGAGTAAAATGACTTATACCCTCACACATCATCCACTAGTGCTGCAGCCAAGGTTTGGGCATGTGTCTTCTCCATGGGAAGCACAATGACAGTGACAACCTGTACCCAAAGGTGGAGATGTATCCACCAGTTCTTCCCCAGAAGGACCCACCATGCAGAGGACTTTGGGTACCCTGCCTGTCCTAAAGGTCTGACAAGATCAACCCTGATTTTTATTTTATTTCTTTATGGCCAGTAGGAGATGGGAGTATGGGAGTCAGTTCTCCACCTCTCATAGCTGTAACTTTTCTGTGTTTTAGGGACACCTCAGGGCAAGGAAGATTTTGCACTATTTTCAGATCCTACTCCAGGGGAGCCCAGGTAAGTGCTGCTCTCAGGGCTTTGGTGGACACATGTGCTTGAACTTTGGGATGTGTAAGTCTTTCCTGCCATAGTAAAGAGATGTGGAGAGGAATGCACTGATCACCAAAAGGATATCCGGAGATGACAAGAGACACTCAGTGTTGTCATGTTGCCTGGGATTCTGTTCTTATGAAGTGGTGGGAGAGAAGGGAGTGAATGGCAGACTTTGCTAAACTCCTACAGAAAAGGTCTGTGCAGACAATATTCAGTCTTAATTTCCAGAGGAGGGCTGAGAGGTCGTCAGGGAGGATGAGGCAATTCTCGCTCTAGATCTGCCTCAGCTTTAATGTGGGAGCTCCTACTTTCTGAGGTTTTTAAAATTTGTTTAAATATGGCACTGGCTTTCCCAGTGGAGTTCTTCCAGTCTGTGTTGCTTTCCAGTCAGTTCCAAAAATAGGGGTGGCTCCTACTTGTGTGTTTGAGGCAGACTTGAAACTAGAGCAGCTCAATTGGAACGTAAAGTATGTGTGTTCCTCAAAACATGAGGCAGAATGTTACATTTTGAGTTTCTCCTTTGGGCCCTGCTCCAGAATAACATCAAGATCCTCAACAGCACAAAAATCTCGTGGTCCTCTGGAAAATTGCATTTAATAAATTGCTGTTTAATAGTGCTTTCTGACAGTTCTGCTGTTGCCCTTTTAGTAGCATGGCAGGGTCCCTCCAGGATAAAGTTTACCTAAGTTAAATGAGTTCCTTTATTTTCCTTATTGTTTTCAAGTTGGAAAGCTTTGGAGAAAATTCCTCTTTTGTTAGATAGAAGCTGTCTATCAGCCTCCTAAGCAGGCCAGTATCCTGGGAGATTCCCAGCCTTTGGGAAGCATTGTACTTCTACTCAAGCTCTTACCACTTTTGGCTTTCTGCTCCTTGTATCTGTAGACGTTTGCTTTGCTAACTGGCAGAATCTGTGTTGTTCTCTTTCTCTGACTTCCTGCAAATTCCCTTGTGCTGCAGACATAGGAGCATCTCACCTGGAGTGTGCTGTTGAGATCTCCCCATGTCCTGTTCATTCATGTTAGTGCACATCTCTGGTGGTCTGGACGCTTTGAGGCAGCTCCTTTGAAGCAGAGGCCAATTTCCTGGTGCTCCTGGTGGAGTTCTGCAGTGGGAGAGTGCAGGATCTCCTGTTCACATGTTCAGTCCTGTGTCTGAGTTTCTTTCAGCATCTACATTTCATTTTCTTTCAGCCTTTACTACTTTTCAGAAAAATCTATAACCCCAATCACATAATCACCATTTGCTTTGGAAGGGACCTTAAGGCTCATCTCATTCCAATCCCCTCCCATCTGCAGGGACACCGTTCTCTAGAGCAGTGTGCTCCAAGCCCCATCCAGCCTGGCCTTGAGCACTTCCAGGGATCAGGAATCCACAACCTACTCATGGAACCTGTGGGCTTGAGGCCATGTTGCTTCCCTCACCAGTCAGAGGTGAACAGAACTGGTCAGTGTGGTTTTCTGGTGACCACAGAACTCAGCTTTGGTCAGGCTCTTTCTAAGACCTTGCTGTGTCAGATCAAGCAGGGAATGGAAAGCAGCAGCTGCTGTGTCCAGGAATGTCACCTGGGAGCTCTTAGCCCTGTGTGCAGCCACTGGGCAGTGGTAACTCCCCTTGGTGTGACCTGGAGCTCCTCAGAGCAAATGTCTTGGCAGAGACACTGCACCCTCAGAGCCTGAGCCCACACACCAGACCTTGCACCTGCTGCTGCCACAGGGCAAACTGGGGCACAGGGCAGAGCTGAAATGGGCAGTGATGAGAACATTCCAGTTGGATGGGAGAGGGACACACGTCTGTCTGGAACCTGCCTGGAGCTGTGAGGCACTGGCACAGCCCCTCCCTGTGATTCCTGCAGCCTGTTCTCCCTGGACACTGCACTTGGGTGCCACAAGGTGTCATGTACCTGGCTGCCCACAGGCTTGAAAGGGATTGATTTTCTCTTCCTTCCTCAAAGTGAAGCTCTTGACCTTCTTCAGCTGTATTTATCAGTATTGCTGCAGGAACTCTCACCTGAACATCAGCCAGGATTGCCTCATCATTGCCTACCCCTCTCCCAAGGAGTGAGTCTGAGGCAGTGAACCTCATCAGCCAGGCAGGGGGACCTCTAGTGGGAGTGCTTTATAGAGCCATGGAATCCCCCAGGCTGGAAAAGCCGTCTGAGCTCATGGAGGCAAACCAGGAACCCAGCACTGCCGAGGCCCAGCTAAACCATGTCTCTCAGCACCACATTCTGCATGGATTTTTTTAACATCTCCAGGGATGGTGACTCCACCAGTGTACTGGATAGCCTGTGCCAGTGCCTAACCACCTTTTTAGTGAAGAAATTACCCCAAAATGCAATCTAAACCTCCCCTAGCACAGCTTGAGGTTGCTTCTTCTCACCCTGTCACTTGTTACTTGGGAGAAGAGACCAATCCCCACCTGACTCCCACCTGCTTTCAGGAAGGTGTAGACAGCAATTCACTGCTGACTGCTGGGGAATGGAGCTCCCTTGCACAGCAAGGTGTAGCTCACACCTTTGCCTCAAGACTGCCCTCTGCTTGTGCAACAAATGCCTTTTCCAAAGTGCTGTTGTGATGCCTTAATCCTGGTCTGCCCAAAGAGTCAATGCTTAAAAGCAGCAAACCAGCCCTAAGGAGCAAGGCAGCCTAGGATGGGGAGAGGTAATTCCCAAGGGAAGTCTCTCCAGGCCCTCTGGAAGTGCCCAGGAGATGAGCACAGAGAAAATGCCTCTTGAAAATGACTGGAGTCCTTGTACACTCTTCTCCAGGTGGCTTGGAGTAAAACTCAGATTGTTTTCAGCCACAAGGGTTGGCTCCCATGTGATGTTCCAATGTTGTTCCTGTATTAGCAGGAATACAGATGCCATGTCTCTTAAATAGCTCACCACAGCTTTCAGTGGAAGAAGAAAATATCTAAATTTGTACTCTGAATGGTTAACCAAAGCAAGAGGACTGTTTGTTTTGAATAACAAATGCCTGTGTGACTGCAAGGGTGGACTTCCAACACCTCCAGTTATTTTCAGTATGCAGAAGCTGACTTCTTCTGGCATGGCCTTAGTGTAAATACAGCATAACCTATGTGGTCTTGGCAGAGAAACACAGAAATGCTTCTGAGTTCTCTGATTTAGAGTTATGGAGTGGTTTGGGTTGGAAGGGACCTTAAAGCCCATCTCATCCCATCCCATCCCACCCCTGCCATGGCAGGGACACCTCCCACTGTCCCAGGCTGCTCCCAGCCCTGCCCAGCCTGGCCTTGGGCACTGCCAGGGATCCAGGGTGGGCACCCTGTGCCAGGGCCTGCCCACCCTCCCAGGGAACAATTCCCAATATCCCATCCATCCCTGCCCTCTGGCAGTGGGAGCCATTCCCTGTGTCCTGTCCCTCCATCCCTTGTCCCCAGTCCCTCTGCAGCTCTCCTGGAGCCCCTTCAGGCCCTGGCAGGGGCTCTGAGGTGTCCCTGGAGCTTCTCCTCTCCAGGTGAGCACCCCCAGCTCTCCCAGCCTGGCTCCAGGGCAGAGGGAGCATCTCCATGGGCTCCTCTGGACTGTTACAAGATGCCCACATCCCTCTCATGCTGGAGGCCCCAGAGCTGGGTGCAGTACTCCTGGTGTGGTCTCCAGGATGCATTCAGAGCTGTTTGCTTTCCTTTCTACTGTCTTGGAATCACCAGACTTGAAGACTTCTGCTGTAGGAAGGCTGATGCAAATCCCCTTGGAGGCAAGAGAAACAGCTTATTGAAACTACAACCCAACAGCTCAGGAAGAACAAATCCAGCAGAGGAAAGAGGTGCCAGCCTGGGAAAAGCTGTGTTTGAATTCAGTGTGATATTTGTACAGGAACTGATTGGTGTAAACTGGCCTTGAGCACCTTCTTGCTGAGAATTAGTGGAAGGTTCTCACTGAGTAAAGGACTAAAGTGCCCAAGAGGAGCTTGAGGAATGAGCTTCCAGAGAGGGCTTGTACAGGTTGGCTGTGAGAGCAGGAGGCTGGCCCAGCAACCCGGCAGCCCTTGCCCAGGTCTGAATAGCGAGTTCTTGAGAGAATACTTGGTGTGAAAAGTACCTCCAAGCCAGGGAAGCATGCCTGACTTTCCCACACACTCTGTATTGTTTCTCAAGTGTAGTGATAAAGAAACCTGAATTTTCTGAAGTAGACCCTGGAGAGGTTGCAACATGGACAAACAGCCTCCAGACAGCGAGCAGACCTTCTTGGGAGTTTTTTTTCCCCTCATGGCACAGCCTGGTGCAGTGCTCAGGCTGAACTTCTGGCTGCTCCCTCCCCAGGGAAAGGACTCCAGTGCTTTGATGCCTTCCCCAGTTTCACCTCCACCCCACTGGCCTGGCTCCTGAGCCATGGGACTTTCACATTCAGCAGGAGCTCCTTCCTCCTGAAATTATCTGCAGTAAAACATCCTTGCTGCCCCTGATGAGCTGGCTCTGAGCAAGAACCAGCCCCTTCTTCCAGCATGACTGCCTCAGCGTCTGCTGTGAGGATCACAGGGCTCTTGCCTTCCGCCCTGCCCTGCTTTAGCAAACCTGATCTTGTCAGGGACAGAGTTCCTGGGCTCCAGGTGGAGGTTTGTGGTGCTGATGTGCCTGGGAGTCCTCTCCTTTTCTCTTCCTTCCCTAGGTGTTGAGTTTCCACTTCATCCCTTTCTCTGTTGGGTTCTGATGGGCCAGCAGGTCCTGAGCCCGTCACTTCAGGGTCTCCTTCTGGGGCAAAAGAGGAGCATTTGTGTCTGGGATAGCAGAGCAGTGGCCTCAGGCACAGCTGGGGCAGGGGGAGTGCAGCCAGTCATGGTGACTGCAGGGCCAGGGAGGAGGCAGAGATGGAAACCAAGCAGTGCTGTGCCCTGCAGAGCCAGCTTGGGCAGTGGAGCTTGCTGTGCTGCACAAGGATTTCATGTTAATTGTCACAGCATGGGGTACAGTGAAAAGTATATTTAAGCACACCTTTAGTGTGCTTA